GATGCTCAATAGCTTTCACTAATTCTTGTCCTTAATTGATTGATCTTAACATAGAGAGGCTTATGTCCCACCAATTGCCTTCACTGTTTTGAGGACCCCGTCTAATGCTCCCGGTGCTTGAATCTCAGGAAGGTAAGAGTATTCCTGGAGCTTGAATCTTTGAATCTCAGGGAGGTAAGAGTATTCCCGGTGCTTCAATCTCATGGAGGTAACAGTATTCCTGGAGCTCGAATCTTGCTGCAAAAATGATAACGTAGTATCCATGGGAGCTTTCTTCAGGATCATGTGACATACCTGTGATTGCAAAATAAAAATAAACAAGAAAAAACTTCAATTGCTTTTTTTAAAAAAAAAAAATCCCAAAATTAGAAAAGGGATCTTTTATTTTAAATGTTGATGAGAATGAACTAATATGTTCGATCTTGATATTAGGTTTTAAATAAGATCAGCTTCTTGAGGTCTTTCATCCTTTCATTCTAACGATGGTGGTTATATTTGCTGATGAAAGGTGCCATGTTTGAAAACAATGATGCTGAGTTTTGAGAATTGATGTTGTGCTTCACTGCGACGGTGAAACCGTGTTGCACTAGCAATGGGAATCGAACGAATGTTCCCGGAATTGAAGAAAGCCGGTCGTGCCGGCCTACCCTTCTTTATTTCTCTTGATGAATGAAGACCATGTGAATACAGAAAAGGAAATCAAGCCCGTGGTGCATATTGTTTAGGCCTTTCACCGTGGGCTCTGACAATGGGGCACCGAACCACCTTCCTCTTCTTTAAATGTTACCGTGCACTAAAATATTTAGGCCTCCACATTCAAGTGACCTCTGTTTCACCATTAATTTTAGAACGGCCCCAGCCTTTTTTATTTTATTTTTTTACCTGAGTGACATGATATTATGTTGCAAGATATTTTTTTAAAGTGTTTTTTATTTAAAAATATATTAAAATAAATTTTTTATATTTTTTTATTTTCAATACTAGTACATAAAAAAAATTAAAATAAATATCAATTTTACTTTTTTTTAAATAAAATATACTTTAAAAATGGAAATTACCACATCTCTAAACACTCTTCTCTTACCTGATTACAATAAAATAAATAAATTAACTGATCAAAATACCTTGCATTAGCATGATCAAAGCAAGGATGTTATTCGGATATTAAAACGGACCTTCTTCATGGACGGGTTTTTATGTCTTCAGGAAACTTTGAAAATCCCTCATTGACCACCGGCATTGCATTGACTTTTTTATATTGGTAAATCCATTGCATGATGAAATAAAATTGAATCGTGAATAACCATCTAGGTGGTGGCCAAATGGTAAAGGCTTGGGATCAAGGAGTTTGCTCCTTCTGTGGTCTCAGGTTCGAGTTCTTGATTGCTCATATGATGGCCACTGGAGGCTTACATGGTCGTTAACTTCAGGGTCCGTGGGATTAGTCGTGGTGCGCGCAAGCTGGCCTGAACACCCACGTTACTCTAAAAAAAAAAAATTGAATCGTGAATGATATTAGCAAAGACATAGCATGTGGGCAGCATTGATTACCATGACCCTCCCCCTCTCCAAGGTGACAACATTACAAGTAGTCTAAATCTAGAGGCACGATTAGCACGTGCAACGTATAGATGATTAAGCCATGGTTTGGCACGTTTTAAGCGCATGTTTAAGCGCATGCGGTATTAGCTATCTACTAATTTGAGAAGGTTTGTGATAAAGCTCTGAAAATTTTATATTAAATCTAGTTACTTCAACAACTGGTTGATGAGAGAATGATCAGACATGATTGTGAGTTGATGAATTAACAATGTGACTTTTAGCTTTTCTACAAAAATAAATCTTTCATTGAAATAATTTTTTTTAATATTTAAGCTAATAGCTGCAATAGAGAATTAAGTGCCCGTCACATAACACCAATGGATGGTGGGCATTACATAACACCAGTAAATGGTGGACAACATTGTTATGACTTATTAGAGTTTGTAATACTGTGCCATTGATACTTGGGTCCTCGTTTAAAGTCTAATTATACTTGTTCCTGGGCTGGGTCTGTTAGTTTTAAATTGCTTAGTCCATGTGCAGCCTGGACTGTCAAGTAGCCCGATCGATGAACAAATCTGAATCTGATTTGGTGTTTCAAGTTTCAATTTTCTAGTCGACGTGATTTTATAATTGTGGAGGAAAAGATGCCATGCACGGAAATCATGCTGCCAAACAATTTGGCCATTGATGTATTTGATTGCGACGTTGGAACCGTGTTGCAATGTCGGGAATCAAAGGGATGTTTCAGAATTCAACATCGTGCCGGCGATGCCCACCTTTCATTCTTTTTCTTGAATGAAGGCCACCCGATTAGAGGAAGAAAGAAATAGAACAAGCGAGGCTAGCGGTCCTCAAAAAATCAACCCTCCACTGCTTCATGTGAGCTGAGCTCTCTGTTCTGGGGATTGGGATCGAGAGATAAGTGGAGCCTAAACCCAAATCCTCCTTGACAAATCAAGGTGTACAGTGCCGTCACTTTACAATACCGAAGTAAATAAGTAGTCGATATAACACATTGAATTTATTATGGTCGACGGGCACTGCTATTTCCTATTTCCTTTAGGAGGTATTCTTGTGGCTAATATTAAATTGGCACTAGTCTCCATACCCAAGATAGGTAGATGGGTTCTTCTTTCATCCTTCACAGGGCAATGAAGATTGGAGACATGAAAACAGACAAAATGAGTAATGGCAGCAAAATGATGCCCGTAGAAGGAGTTATTTCTTATAATGTGTTTTTTATTTAAAAATATATTAAAATAGTGTGTATTTTTTATTTTTTTATTTAATTTTAATATAAATACATCAAAACAATCTAAAAATATAAAAAAAACTAATTTAAAACTATACGTTCTTTTAAAAAATTAAAAATATAATTGTACTGACAGTTTCTAAATCTAGAAGTATATAATTAGATTGGTTAAATAAGTAGTCGATATAAAACATTGGTTATTTTAACGAAGAAATAGCTGTTGTTCACATAAATAGATTGTATGAGTATTTATACGGAAGTAAAATACAACATGATAAAAACCAAAGATAAAATCACATATTAAAATATGTATATTTTATGGTTAAATAATGAATCAAGTTGTGTTTTTTTTTATTATTATAATAATAATAACAACAAGATAGGAGAGGCTCGAAGCTTAGACCTTTTCTAGGAGGTAGACATATATTAAATAATAATAATAATTTATATATTATTATTGAAGTTGTTGACGTTCTTCTTCTTCACTCGTAGTAATATTTTAATTTTTAATACCACATGGTAAAGAGACAAGACCTAGTGGATAGAGCCGTGTAGACGACATGGTAGGGGGGTGGGATATCAGCCAGGGACAAGAATGATTTGAGTATGATGAGGTAGACAAGGCATTAACTTTTGTTCACATCTTTGCTTGCTTAAATATTTTTTAATACATATATTTTCTCTCCTAATAAAATATTTTAGATTCAAGTAAAAATGTCTACATTAACTTTTGCATTGTCTTTATATCTAAAAGTGCAATACTGGACATAGATTTATTTTTTTTATGTTATAAATAGTTATATTTCTTAATAGCAACAATTTGTCGTTACAAATATAATAGTTTAAAGTAAAAAAGAAAAAAAGAAAAACTGTCATACAATAAGTTTTGTACACATAAAAAAAAAAAATTTAAAAAAAATTCATAGTATATTTTATCATATCGACCAGCATAATTAAATAAAAATTATAAATTCAAAATTTAAAAATATTAAGAGTAAAATAAAAAATAAACTAGGCTCACAAGTTCTTTGGAAGTTCCAAAAATTGAATTCAATTTCAAGAATTAAATTAATTCTTTCAAGGATATTGATTTAAATTCATTCCAAGGAAAATTTAAATCATAAAAAAATAAACAAAAAAAAATTAGAAGGGGGAACCTCTTATTATCTGCAAATCAATTCCTTTTAAAATTAACATTGAAAATACTATTATAACAAAATAAACAAAAACTTCTCTATACTTTAAATTATAAATCGATCTATCTACCTTCTTCCACCTAATAATATGATTCTTCATACACCTATTTATATTGTATTTAATCGGTAATTAACTACTTTGATGAAAACAATTTTTCTCATTGGAGAAAATGGAGAATGATGGATGCTTCTTGCTGCTAAGAGCATGACAGTTGGCACAATCATGGTTTAATGGGTTTCAAAGCACTCTAATCCTGTTATGACAACTAAATTGGGATATTATCCTGAATCACTCGCAAGCTACCCATCATTCGTAAAATATAAATGGGTCCACAGTGTCTGTTTTTCTCTACTAAAGAAAGAAAATTTAATTGAGGGAGAGTGAGCAGGAGAGGAGACAGCTAATTAAATAAGTCCTGCAATATAAAATATAAACAAATAATATTCCAGTCTTGTTGAATATAAACTAAGAGCATGGCTTGGAAAAAGCTTCGTGCTGAAGGCCATCGTGAGGGAGCTCAACTTGATATTTTATTTATAAATAAATTATTCAATAAAAAAGACGTATCATGTAATTTTAAATTAAAAATAAAATAGTCAAGATTGCTAATTCAATTTAATTTTATAGATATTTCAAATAGTATAATTTAATTTAGTATTTTATTCTAAACAATAAAATTATAATAAATTATGGATTGAATTTAAATACCACATGAAATTAAATCCGAGTATATTATACTTGTGATTTGGTCTTAAAGATTCTGTTAAACGGTATTACTAGATATGTCTACGCTGGATATAAACCCAGCATAAAATGAAGACTTGAACGACACGTCATGGAACGCCATCCATGCGGATAAATACCAAACACACTCAAGCATCTTCTAAGGCTGTGTTCAAATTCACAACTAATACAATTAATTCAATGGGCATTAATCTCTAGGCATCAGGAGGGAGAAAGGCAAAACACACAGAATAAAGCTAAAATCACTGCAAAACTCACTTGGGAAATCGGCAAACACCAGTGCATCCTACAATTTTAAAGTTTTCCTTCACATCATCAAATGCAGCATGATCGCATGTACAAATTGCCTATATTATTGGGCTTCAATTTCTGTCAAGGCAATCATAAGTGAAATTTCAAAAGAGAAGGAAATATGCAAGGAAACAAGTCTACAGATGATTCATGCCAGTGAAATCTCCTTGCTAAAATTTATGAGTGAAATATCAAGCAGTATGATAAAAATTTCTTCTGTTCATTGCTTAATTAAAAAACTGCATATACATATATGAAGAAAACCCATCAAACTAAAATCTCAATGAACTTCCAGAGAAATCTCAAACCTGATTAAGATTTCAAGACAATTCTCCGTAGTCTGATTTTCAGCCTGAGAATGTCCAAAAATGTAGCTGCTATTTCACCGTCGAAACTCAATCTTCCTACGCACAGTCTAGAAATCTCAGCAATCACGTAACTCAATCCCCCACGAAATCTTCTTTCCATCTCACAATTTCAGCACCTAAGCTCTGCAGATTCCAGATCTCTCACGCAATTTACACATTGACATCTCTACGGTGTGGAATCACAAAATCTGTGCAACTCCACAAAACCCAACACCATTCTCCAAACCTAACCAAAAAGCACACACAGAATCTACACCATTATCTCCAAACCCAACACCATTTTTTAGGAACGCAGGTTGGATCACGTTCCCAGACATGCAGGCAGCAAGTTATCCTGGGCAGCATCTTCAAGCAAGCGCTTTAAAGGTGTTAGCGATGGACCCCACATCGTTTCCAAATCTTCATCTGTAGCGAGTCAAAATCCCACAGCCATAGTGACCAAATCCTCATCGGTTTTTCCATTTCTTCATATCATTTCTGCAAAAGCTAAATAGCCAAAATCCCGGACAACAAAGCCAAATCCCCCCGCATTATTACAAATTCACGATTTCTACAAGAGCCAAAATCTCACAGATAATTTCCAAATTGCCATTTCTACCGAGAAAGAGCATTTCTTTTTAGTTTTTTTGTATAATTATGTTTTCTTTCCTCTTAGAAAAATTTCAAAATTAGCATAGATGTGAATTTGGTTTTATATCAAATATTTGATTCTATCGGTGGGGATAGTGTTTACTTATAATCGAAAATTCAAGTTCAAGGACAATATTTCTAAGCGCTTTCTCTTCTTCATAAATATATATGCCATATTATTTCAAAGTATACATATGAATTAAATAAATTCTATTTTTTAATTAAAAAATAAAAGAATATTGATCATTTTATCGAGCAAGGGATATAAAATTAATATAAGAAGAGGAAAGTAGCATGAAGTTGGAGAACTTCATGATGGATCTAGTTTCCATGAAAATTCAATAATTCAAAACATCTTAATATTTCTAAGCTATGAAAAAACACACTATAAAACAAGTCATCAATGCATGTTGTTATTTGACATTAAATTTTATAAACATGATCATACTCTCATAATAAATTTTTGCTATCATATTATACTCGTGACCAAATTATAAATTAATTATTCATAACCAAGTATTGTAGCTCTTAACAAAAACTATTATTAATTATTATAACTCGTTGGTGGGCCATTAAAACTATTTTTAGTGCCGACAACTCTACCCATCAAAAATCAATACTTTATTAGTAGTCATTTGAAATTCATTCCAAAATACTTTCTTTCATCAATCAGTTTGAAAAATATTTTTATAAAAATCCTACACCATGCATTTACAAACATCATATATAAACAAATCAATTTGAACATAGCAAGTGCATGATCTTATTGTAGAGATATAATACATATAGTAGAGACAAGATATACAATTAAAAACTATTTATTTTGTTTAAAATTAATAAAGCGTGAAAAAATTTACGTAACTTTCTTATTTAAACAATTAAAGTCTAAAATTTCAGCTCAAACAGTCTATTCACGTATATATAGTCTATTAAAGTCTTTTCTATGCTTAACTATAATAGTCTGTCAATTACATACTGTCTTCTAATTGCCCATAACTCTTTCACAAAAAATAAGAATCTCATTTTGTTTTTTGGGTTATAGGTTAGATTCGGTTATATTTTCATTCATATATGACTCGTTTAGTAATATTTATATAATTTATAATAAACCCTAAAATCGTTATTAGATATCAATGCCAAACAATTTGCATATCTTTTATTGTTTTCACTATAACTTTCTACAAAAAATAGATCAAAGCATCATTTATGGTGTTAGAAACTAGATAGCATAAGGTATATTGAGTAAAAGTCCATATAAATTTAATATAGTTTTTAAGTCAAATAGAAGTCTTTATCAAATATCTAAATTAACAATTTCTTATTTTTAAAACAAATAATTAATCTGATATTTTCAGATCATTACTATCAAGCACTATTAATACATCTTATAGTTTCATAAAATCTACTATATTTATTACAATTGATCATTTATATAAATAACAATTAAATCTTCATAATTTTATATTCTCTTCGTATAAAAAAACCCTTAATCAATTCAGAATCTTTATAGATAAATGATTCTTACCTTGAAACCATGAAAAAAAAAAGCTCAATCTTTCAAGTTCAATCCACTGCGCTCCTCTTCTCTATATGTATCAAAGAAAAAAACAACTCTTAAAATTTGTTTTCTTTAAACTATTATGAAGTTGTAAAATACTAAGGTTTTATCTTCTTTTTTACATGGATATAGTATTATATGAATTTATTTTTTTCTACTTAGTCTAAAAATAAAATTATGTGTAAATTTAGTTTTTATAGTATACTAGCCCAAAAGTACTTGGGTTGGGATATTACTCATCATACTTAAAAGAACCAGTATTATAAACACCCCCTCGTGATATTAATTATAACAAAAACAATAAATATTGGCAGTGAAGCATGCAGGGCCAAAAAAGCAACCACGTGAAATCCACGGACAGCTCACACAAATGACTAATAAAAGAGGAAGATAACTCCACGTCATAAAGACAGGTCAAATAATTGACGTGGCATTATGTGGTACAAACACACGCCAAACTCGTTGCCCAACATTTATAAAAAGAAGACACTGTTTGAATGCCTGTCACGTTCTTCTCGCACACACAATCCTTCCTACCTAATTCACGATCGCTAGCAAGTCACGTGCTCTTCACGATCTATTTTTACTGTTTTTTAGTGTTTTACTTTTAAGGGAAAACTACAAATCAGTCCCAATATATATACTGAACAGCATATCAGTCCCCATATATATATTTTCTATATCAGACCAGCCCCTTATCAGTTTGTAACTATAAAATTTGTGATGGGAAGGGACAAGTCCCATAGAAGATAAGGTAGAAAGTAGCAATGTTTCAAAGATTGGAGACTGGTTTGTCAATAAATAAATAGGTTGGATGCTGACTCGTAGTTATCCCTACTTTTGATTGGTTTGTCGAAGGAATCGAGGGCAGATGAGATTCCAACACGTAGTCACGGGGTCCAGCATGAGGAGCACATGGATGGCATGAACGAGTAAACGTGTGTGATTTTATGAGTGGAGGATAATTTGATAGAGACGCCCACCCAAAACGCGTGATAGGGGAGCTGTCGTCACGTGATCATCAGCACGTGGAAGGCGGTAGATGGAATCCAAGCTCTTGACATGCCAAGGACTAGAAAAATTAATTCAAGAATAGAATACTTCCATCTAGCTCTTCAAGGATCTTGATTTCGGACACTCCAAAATCAGAAAAATTAAATTATTTGGTTTTTAATTTCAAAAGAAAAATATATATTTATATATATTTGTTTGTATGTAGCGGAGGAGCAGCTGAAGAAGAGGTCAATCTTGTTAAAAAAATTACGAAGTGCGTGCGTTTCTTGAGGCCATCCCATTCTAATTATTTTGAATTGTATTTACATACTTAATCGCTTATGATTATAGTTATTTAAAAATATAATAAATTTTTATTTTGACATAGACGTGTTAGGATCCTTATTTAGAATAATAATAATAATAATAATAATAATAATAATAATAATAATGTTGTGATGTGAATGTAATATTTTTAGATTTAATTTTCTTGAAAAAACTTATACTTTATGAAATTGCTGGTTTCATATTATTGATACTTAGACGTTTGTGTTTGAAATACTAGCACTTGCAGTTTTTAATTAATTCTCCTCAGTTTTCTTCTCTAACAATATAAATATACAATTTAAAAGTTTATTTTTTATTTGATTATTTAGAATTTGAGTTTGACTGCAAAAAATTATTGTTGTTCTTTTCAAATCAACCTGGATATAAATATTATATTCAAGACCCTAATTGCACACAACTTAATCGATGTGCAAAACTAGTCTAATATATAAGAACAAATTTGGAGCCATTTGTTATAGGTCTTTGGGTTAGGAAAGAGGTCAGATATGATGAGTTGTGATTAACAAAGTCCACGAGTACTTAAATATTTAATACGAGACGTGTTAGGATTAACTTTGACGATATGATCTAGACACACTAGGTTAATATGATAATACATTGTTAAAGAAAAAAATATAATTTTAATTTATATGTAAATTAATACGAGAATATTCATTAATATTTTTAGAACAAGAAATAACATGCTAAAAACTTATTTGGACCGAAGGATTCTCTTTTTGGAACGAGAGGATTGCCGGAGGTAGATGTGATTTATTAATTTTTAATTAGGTGGACCTGGAACCGGGGCTTTAAAAATGCAGTTGCACCATTTGATATTGCCATGTAATCTTCAAAGTGTTTGATTTTAAAAAATTAAAAATATTTTTTTAGTTTTTTTATTTTGATATGTTAATATTAAAAATAAAAAATATTATTTTAAAATATTTTAAAATAAAAAATATTTTAAAAAACAATCTTTACTACTTTAAATTTTTTTAGCTAAATATAACAATTTACGAGATCCTACTAAATCAATGCCGATAAAAATAACTTTTTATACTAATAAATATAATATTTTACATTAATAAAATATAGAGAAATGTCAATAAAGCTTTGCTTGACATTGCAGTTCAACTCTTTTTTTATATATTTTTTTTTGAGTTTTTCTAAATTTTAAATTATTTCTGTGTTTTAATTTTTTTTGAAAGTGTTAATGGATTTCTAAATTTTAAATTATTTCTGTGTTTTTAATTTTTTTTTGGAAGTGTTAATGGAAAAAAATAAAAAACAAAATATTATTTTAATATATTTTCAAATAAAAAACAATATATAATAAAACTATGAAATAAAAACCAGAAGCATTATCTAACCACCAACCATTAAATTTGATGTTCCGGTGTTGGGTGTGTGTGTGTGTGTGTGTATGCCAGAGAATAAAGGAGCTGGACATCTCATTAATTTTGACGTGCATTGATGCATGGCTCCAAAGTTTAGATGATCAAGCTGTGTGAA